AATGCTTTACGCACACAAAAAAATCACTCGTGTGTGATAGTGTATGCACAAGCGCCAGTGAGGGAGATACCTCAGGATAAGGCTAGACTTTTACCTCTTCTTATCACCAAGCAACCTGAAATAAGGCTGCCCCAAACTGCTTCTCACAGTACAGGTTATGACCACTGACTATTTAGTATCTTGACCCACCAAAGACTTGTCTCACTCTTGCTTCTGAAAGGAAACCTGAGAATACCATCAGTACCAAACAAGCTGGGCAACAGCACTTGGATACAATTCTCCACATTCATATACCTGCCTGTGATGTTCTGGGGTTCCAGTCCTTAACTCCATGGGTTTCTTCCCATCTGACAGGCCAGGTTTTTATTTCTTCTCTGTCCAATACAACATATTTTTTTAAGGGAAGAAAGGCAACTGATGCCTTTAGGCCAGGCTTAGGTGAAATCATTCCTTCGTGATAAAACCTAGAATTTCCTTAAGCTTTTTACCCCTAACCCTCCAAATATGGTTTCTCCAAGTGAAATGCCAGCATTTGTAAAGCTCTTTCAGGAAGCTGATACTTTCAGCACTTAAGAGCCAGGGTTCAGTCTAAACCCAGCCTCTTATTCTTTTATAAGAAAAAGAACACAATGACATTTCCAATGTCAGAAACCTTTACTACAGCACTAGAAAATAAAGTGGGTATGCAAGGAGACAAAGGAAACAAGAAACACAAATGTTTTTTGTCCTCAGGCTTTTGTAGCAACTATACTGGCTTCAGCTGGATAACAAATTGTCCTGGAATTCTTGGCATTGGAGCAAATATGCCAGCTCCCTGGTTATGCCTTCGTCACTGCTCAAAGTACCACACATTTAACCTTCCTGCTCTTTCCATAGGCCAGGGTTTGTCCTGAATCCAGGAAACTTTATATGTGGTCTAAACTGAACATCCCAGCAGGCTGCAAGGCAGATAACAGCTCAGGATTCAGAATGTTGACCAATTCCTACCTGGATCCATACCACCAAGCTGTAACTCAGCCTGCCTGTGCAGAAATAGGAGCCCAGCCACGTGGCTAACAGCTTTTTTAACTGCTACTCTCAGCAGTGAGGAACGTTCTCTGCAGACAAGATTCAGTGAGATGGCCTTCTTCAAGAGAACCGAAAAGAAAGCAGTATCAAGATTGATCCAACAGATACAGAGGTTCAATCAGATACTCAAGTCAAGAAGCAGCCTCCACAGCTTAACCAAGCCAGGAGGAGATAAGGGCCAAGTGTTACTGCCCTGCTCTTGAGTCCTTGGGACCTCAGGTCATGAGCCCAGAACATCTTGCAGAGGTCCACATCTGTGTCACTAGATTCTCAAAAAAGGCTTCATACTTCAGTCATAAAAGAAGCCAAGATATGGCTGGGGTAGCACCTGAACTACATCATTCAAATGTCTAACACATTTGTGTTAAAAAAAATAAAATAAAATAAAAAGGAGGAGGGAAGGTAGGAATATATATGCAAAAAACCTCTCTGGGAGGAACTGGCACTATCTCTGAGGAGGGGAACTAAGCAATTAGGAGGAAAAGGTGGAAAGCAGACTTTACTTTCAACTTTTGAATCATATGAATACATAACCTTTCAAAGCACAAATTTTAAAATATTTAAAATGCAGAATGTTAGTCATATTAAAAAAATACAAAAAAATGCTCTATAAATGTGTACACTTAAAGAAAACATCCTGAAGGAATACTCAAGAATACTCAATTGTGAACTATGAGCAACTCCTAGGAAATAGGAGTAAGAGACTTTCATGTTTTATTTTATACAGTTTGTATTTTTTTCCCCAAAAGGTAATGCTACTTTTGCAATTTTTGCTTTAAAAAAGAAAAAAAGTCTTCACAAGCTGCAACCTCATTTCCAACAAGATCCCTAAGCTCTCACAGCACTCTGTCTCATGTTACTGAATCACATCCCATCTTGTGTTACAATTATTTGTGTCCAGGTCTCATCTCTGTTGAATGCTGGAGCAACTGCAACTACAATCTGCCCCACTCTGGGTCCACTTTCCAGAGACTAAAATACAGAAAAAGAACAAAGAAGGAAAAAACAGCAACCAAAATGGCAACCAAGCAATGACACAAGGATCAATCAATCAACCAAAGTGTGAACAGTAATCTTATAGTAATTTGTGCAAGAATATTAGCAATGAGAAACCATGACCAAGTTAAAAATCCACTGAAAACATAGCATCCTTCCCACAAATGGTAGGAATTTCAATAATCTGCATGTGCATATGTGTTAGGAACTTCGCCAACTGCCAAGCCAACAGACAGTAGCAGCCAAATTCCTTAAAATTCAGTAAATTCTTATCTCAGGACATGTTCTTTATTTAGGAAAATTCCTAAGTGACTTCTGAGTATAGAAAGATGAAGCTCCATCTAGAGCCTAGATTCTAGGACATGACTTGAAGAGATTTAAAAAAGCATGAATTTCTCTGTAAAATTAAAGAGGAAAGTTTGAGTTTCTAGGAAAATGGTGTTAGGTGGTCCAGAAAGGTCTAGATTCAATACTAGAGACTGTACTATAGAGAAACAGTCACTGAGAAATTGAGTAATTCTGGGAAGCAAGATGTGCTGGAAATTTATGTCTTAATTTTAAGTTATTTGCTCTGAAGTAATGCAACCTCCCACTGCTGCTGTTCAAAGACTATAACATATTACCACTCTGACACAGGTATGTATGAGGGGGATAATCCAGAATGGAGCAAATGGGGTGGAAGGATCCTTTACATCCTAATTCTCAGTAACACGCTTTCCAAAACTTGAATTTCAGGGACAGATTTATTCTCCTACTTGAAACAACCACAAACAAAAATAAGATCTATGAAAAAATGATACTAGATGGAAATACACAAATGATAGTGAACTGTTAGAGGGGCCTGCTGATACCAGTAGACAAAAAAAGCTACACTGGACAGAGATGGGACCAAGAGATGCATTTAAGTGAAAAAAAAACAACATTAAGAGGTGATCAGAAAAAAATGAAAGCCCTATGAACCCACAAGAAATATAAGGACCAATGTTGAACTGTATTTCTCAAAGTACAAGGGATGGACCTGGTCTCTGGAGCTGATACTTGGGTGTCCTCCATAACTTTCCTTCTCTCACTCTCCACCTCCAAACTGTTAGCAAGTCTTGCAGGTACAATCTCAAAATACCTTCAGAATCCAACCATTTCTCACAACCCCCACTGCTACCACCCTAGCCAGAGCCACTACCAGCTCTACCTGGGCATTAGCCAAGAACCTCCTCACCTTCCCAATTACAACCTCATGTTCCCCCTCAAACCTGATTAGTCTCCACATAGCAGTCAGATCAACATTTATCTCCTGACAGAAGGCTTATTGTCTATCTCCCCTACTAAAATATAAGCTCTAGGAAAGTGAAGTCTTCTTTTGTTGCTCATTGCTATAATGTCATTGTTTAGAACAGAGCCAAAGTATATATAGTCATTGCTCAGTATCTGTGAGGGATTGGTTCCAGAATCTCAGATATCAAAATCTGTAGATGCTCAAGTCTTTTAGATAGATAAAATGTCATAGTATTTGTATATAACCTACACACATCCTCCTATATACTTTAACCATCTCTAGATGATTTATAATACCTAATACAATGTAAATGCTATGTAAATAGTTGTTATGCTGTATTGTTTAGGGAATAATGACAAGAAAAAAAGGTATGTACATGTCTAGTACAGACATAAACCTCTTTTTTTCTCCCCAAATATTTTCTACCCAAGATTGATCCATGGATATGAAACCCACCGACATGAAGAGCTGTTGCATTAGCACCAAGCAAGTATTTGTTAAATGAACTTAAAAATTGGTTATGAAACTGTGTATCACATACCTCTAAGAAATAAATGTATTTGGCATCCATTTGTAGGACTCAAGAGGACCAGGGATCTGTAAATTATACTGTGAGAAATATCATCTAGCTTTGTCACCTACTATTGAATCACAATGGCTTATATATAATAAGAGATCCACAAATGCTCACTGAATAAAAATAAATAAATATAAAATAAGCCTCATGTCATAGATAATACCTGGGGCTGGGCTGGGCAGAACACAGATGCTTTTGTATTTTCTAGCACAAGAATAGTTAGATGATTGATAGGGCAGATATTCAAATATAATGTGGAGTCTGAAAGAAAACATATTATTTAACATGGACCTAAGCCAATTCTGTGTCACCTGTGAGGAACACAGAAATGACCACAATAATCCTTATCATCAAGGAACTTATATACCTGCATCTTTATTAATTTATAAATAAGTTTAAATAACTCAGATTTGGTATAATTGCTCTACTGGATCTTATACAAGAAACATTTAGGAGGCACAAAGAAGGAAGTGATCATCCTTACCTAAGGAGGTCAGATGGTCAAAGAAAGATTTCTAAAACGATTTTTTTTTTTAAACTAAGTCTTATATGGAAGAATTTTCCAGATGAGAAAAAACTCATTTAGGGAAAACAAAGGCATAACATATATCACTAGGTGGTTACTAAGAGGGAGTTAACAAAATATGAAAAGGTATTTTGACATAAGATAGAAAAAAGGTACAAAGTACTTTCTTTTAAGGAAAGAGCCTATGCTTTTTAAAGTTCTTGGAACTACCTTTCAAACTATCCATTCCCCTAATGAGATGTAACTTCCAAAAAGGTCTTGACAAATTTAAAATCATCAGGCCAGGCATGGTAGCTCCTGCTTGTAATTCTAGCACTCTGGGAGATGGGTGGATTGCTTGAGATCAGGAGTTTGAGACCAGCCCAAGCCAGAGCAAGACCCTGTCTCTACTAAAAATAGAAAAAACTAGCCATCATGGGGGCACCTATATTCCTAGCTACTTGGGAGGCTGAGGCAGGAGTATTGTTTGAGCCTAGAAGTTTGAAATTGCTGTGCGCTGTGACACCAGGGCACTGTAGCCTGAGGCAGCAAACAAACAACAACAAACTTATCAAATAATAAAATCAGGGAGGGGAAGACAAAACATGTTTACTCCAGGCCAAGTCTTAAAATGTATGCTGCACTGTTCCTTGTTATCATCAATATCAAAAAAAGAAGAAGAATATGTCTAAAGGTTGCCAAATAGCTGCTATGAGGGTCCCCATAAGTCCAGGTAGTCTTCTTCCTCACTGGTGTTAGTCAATGAGGTTTTCTACCCTCATAGCAAATGGCTCCTTATCTATAAAATCACTATGTGCAGTAAAGAGGAAAGAATCTGATATATTGATTGTTCCTCATTTAAACCATGACTTAATCCCTATCTCAGGATTAAACTATCTTTATTTTCTATTAAAATTTTACAAAAGGAAAGGGGTAAGATGCAAGAGAGATTACACTGTGTTGACATCAAGACTTTAAATTCTAGTCATAGTTAAGAGTCATATTAAATGCCAACTGAAGGCTAAAAGGAAATAACTACACAGAGTATAATCGAGCCTCAATAATGTAAGAAAACACCTGGCAATAAAACTGGAGTCGTTGGTTGTCAAGTATGTTGTCTCAGGCACCAGTAGGTAAAAGTCTGAAGAAATGGGTGCTCTCCATTCCCAATCACCAGTAGGTAAAAGTCTGAAGAAATGGGTGCTCTCCATTCCCAGTGACAAAGATGGGTTCTAGTTTGATGCAGGAGCAGGTCTGTTGCCAGGTGCTGTCTGCAGCTCACAGCTGAGTTTAGCAGTGGAATCGAGTAGAGAACTTGGGAGATACAGGCACAGTCAAAGGCTGGTCACTTGACTTTACCTCCACACCCTGGTACTTGCGTATTGGATTTGCCTTATGCACCTGCAGAGTAAAGAAAATAAAGTTAACGCTGAGATGTTAGAGAACTATGCATATAGTTTATTTTTTCTTTTTGAGAAAACATTTATATAGTTTTATAGATTCTGGACACTAATTTAAAGGCAAGGGGCAAGTGAGGGGAAGCAACACAGTGTGATGGAAAAGTGCATGATCTTTGGAGCCCAATAGATTTCTTTTCAGCTTTTATTGGGTCCCTCAGTTTTCACTAAAGAATGTCTTACTTCTTTCCAGTGGGATTTACTACATTATAACGGGACTGTACTAATTGTAGCAGAGAAGACTTATAAATTAAGAATTTTCTAGAGTATAATCCTAAACTTAATTCTTTTTTATTTTACTTAATTTTTAAACTTTTAACATTTGACTTTGCAATAATAACTGACTCTTAATATTCACAAAAGCCTGAATGAAAAAAATAGAGAGGGAAAATAACCTAACAAGAAAGGGTTGTTTGAGAAGGCATAATCCCATCCATCCTTTTGTGTAGTCTGAAATTGACCCCAAATCAAACCAGATTAAGAGAGCTAGCTAGCATTGACTGAATTGTGCTTTAAAATGTTGCTATTGGAAACTGCTATAAGAAACAGCTCTATGATGGGGGCACACACAAGAGGAATATACAAAGTGTTGAAGAAAAATCAAAAAAGTTGAGGCCAGAAAAAAAAAGAGTGTTTTATAAGTGTAGCTGGATTGGCCCTGGGTAGAGTGCCATGGCATCACAACTCACAGCAACCTCCAGCTCCTAGGCTCAAGCAATTCTCCTGCCTCCCAAGTAGCTGGGACTACAGGCGCCCGCCACAATGCCTGGCTATTTTTTGGTTGCAGCCATCACTGTTGTTTGGTGGGCCCAGGCTGGATTTGAACCTGCCAGCTCAGGTGTATGTGGCTGGCACCTTAGCCGCTTGAGCCACAGGTGCCAAGCCCATATTTCTTTAATTGACAGATAACATTGTATGTTTTTATTGTATACCACCTAATGTTTTGAAGTATATATATTCATTGTGGAATGGTTAAATCTAGCTAATTAATAAAGGCATTACCTCACATAGTTATTTTTTGGTAAGAGCACATAACATCCACTCTCATTACATTTTTCAAGAATATATCATCATCAACTATAGTCACCCTGCTATATGATAGAGCTCTTGAAACTTATTCCTCCTATATAACTGTAATTCTTTATCTTTTGACCAACATCTCCTTATCGCCCCTACTTCTATTTCTATATTCATCCTTTTATTAATTATAAGAAGTTCCATCTAAAACTTCTTCCTCATTAATGCAGGTAACATTACCTGCTATTCTCAAAACAAAGTGGTCTTTAATGTAAATTAAGACTTCTTTTTGAATAACTAATGTCTAAAATCATTAACTAGTGTTAGCATGGAAGACACTCCAAAGTATCTGGACCAAATATTAAGAGGAAAATAAAAATGAATTAAGACTTCTTTTTGAATAACTAATATCTAAATCATTATACTAGTGTTAGCATGGATGACTCTCCAAAGTGTCTGGACCAAATATTAAGAGGGGAACAAAAATACAATTATCACACTATGTGACACCATGTCCTTTCTTATGTATTCTTGTCTACTTGTAAAACTTAATTAAATTTTTTTTTTTTTTTTGAGACAAAGCCTTTAAGCTGTCGCCCTGGGTAAAGTGCTGTGGCATCACAGCTCACAGCAACCTCAAATTCTTGAGCTTAAGCGATTCTCTTGCCTCAGCCTCCCAAGTAGCTAGGACTACAGGCGGCCACCACAACACCCAGCTATTTTTTGGTTGTAGTTGTCATTGTTGTTTGGCAGGCCTGGGCTAGATTCAAACCACCAGCTCTGGTGTATGTGGCTGGTACCTTAGCTGCTTGAGCTATAGGCACTGAGCCTTAGTATTAGTAAGTATTTTTTAAGCCCAGAAGGAAATAATAAAATTAATTAAATAAATCAAATAAACAAATAAAGAAGAGTCCTAAGAAATGCATCACTGTGCACAGTTATACCACATGATGTCCTCCTTAAGAAGACCACCTGGAAAAAATCTGGTCTAGATTCAATAAAGGGCAAATATATTTTTTTGAACAGTTGACTTGTTTATGTCTTTTTTTTTTTTTTCATTTTTTCAGCCGCGGCTGGTTTGAACTCACCACCCTCGGCATATGGGGTCGGTGCCCAACTACTTCAGCCACAGGCGCTACCCAACTTGTTTACGTCTTACAAACATTGTAAGTTTTGTACCCAACAGGCTGTTTCCTAAAATGGGCCCAAATTATGGCTCATACTTAGATCATAATTTACATGTCTTTAGCCTTGTTCACATCTCAGCTTTATTACCACCCAGAGTTTGTTGATTCCCGCCTTTCACTAGTCTTTGATATATCCTTGTAGGTCACCTTAGATTGTCTGTAATAAGGTAAGATACAGATAAAACAAAACAAGGACTACTCTAGGTTAGTCAGTGTTCAAGTTGCCCAGTTACCAGTTCTTTCCGTAGCCTGGCTAGCTCTTCCTTCTGCTGTTCTTCCTCCTGTTGCCTGGCTTCCTCCAACTGCTGGGCTCTCTGGGCTTCAATCTCAACCATTCTCTTCTCTAACTCCTGCCGCTCCTTGGCTCTCTTCTCAGTAGCTAGCTGAAAAGGTTCCTGAACTAGAGAACCAGAAAGGCCCTCTGAATACAGAAACAGAGAGAATACTGATACACAAGCAGGAATTAACAGAAAGCTACCCCCCTTGAATTGAGCAAGTGGTACAGATATGCATGGGAACAATAGGGCTGAGCTCTAAAAAAGCCCCACTCAGAGAAAGAGAGAATTAGAATAAAATGCATATAAAAAGTCCCGGAATTTTAAGAGTTAGAATGACCCCTGGAAGTCATTTAGAGTAACTGGGAAAAAACCAAGACCTGGAGAGATGAAGCACTTTGCTCAAAACTAGACTGATCCTGAGACAGATACAGGAATGAATGCAAATTTTCTAACACATTGCCCAGTGGTTAAGGAATCAAATGCTTTGTATCTAAGGCTTCCTTCAGAATAAACTTAAGAAAGACATCCTGGCTCTCCCACCCTCAGTTATAGGTGGGAAAAGCCTATAACTTTTGTTGAAATACTAGATGCTTCTGCCAGGGATCATGTTAAATGAATCTGGCCATAACTAATTGTGCAACTCAGCACAGCTGCTAGGTTCAACAAATTCAAAAGACTGGATCTAGGGAAAGAAAAGCCACCACTTTCTATAGTTAAATGCTTCTGGGTAACACAGCTTTGTACTGACACACTGAGTCCCAGTACACCCCTAGGAAGTCAGACAATTCTGCCCCAATCTCTTAAGAGTACATAATACTATACCAGTAACTGATTTTTTTTCTTTCTTGGGAACAAAGGGCTCCTGGGAGATGACGGTGTTTGGACGAGCCTTGAAACAAGCTGCTTCCTTCTGTTGTTTCAGTTCTTCCTCCAGCTATTAGAAAGAAAGTCTGTCAGATAAGTAACTATATACAACTTTCTACAACTACCACCTCAGTAATTTAAATTCCAGAGTTTTTGATCTGCTTGTCAATAAAGACAGCAAATGATTTAATATAAGCCTTAGTTAAAATCCCTCATACAAACTTTAAATGAATACAGCAGTCTGGCAATATCTGAATCCACTAAGAACTAGAAAGTATCTTTAAAATAATTTTAAAGCTTACCTTAACATCAAAAAATAAACTAGGTATTTTATGCCTCCAGATGTAATTCATTAGGAATTACACAATTTTACCTACAAAATACTCTCCTTCCCATCCCCTAAAATAGCCAACCAGAATTTAATCAAGTCTCTAGATCTAACTACTCATTTATAGGAAATACAAGCAATAGAAGAACATGTTAAACACCATGGGAATGTAACCAGCAAAATCTAGATTACAGGTAATCTATAGGACAATCCACTTTGTTTAACAAATAAAATGTGAAAAGAGCCTATAGATTAAAAGAGATTTAGAGATTTATCAAACAAATGTACAATGTAGACCTTATTTGGGTATCAATTTAAACAACTTAACTATTTTGAGAAGTTTGGGGATATTGGGCAGTGCCTGTGGCTCAGTGGGTAGGGCGCTGGCCCCATCCAAGGGTGGAGGGTTCAAACCCAGCCTCAGCCAAACTGCAACAACAACAACAACAAAAAATTGGAGATATCTGAAGGCTATTTGTCACTATAAAAGGGTTACTGTACAGCAACTCTATCTACTGATCTTAAGATCTAGAGGCATTATTGTATAGTAATTAAGTACATGACCCATATGAGACTACA